GTGTCGTATACCTACAATGTACCAATAAAAGAATTTAATACAAAAAAATTTACATATCAGAGAATATGACACATTCCAAAGATTTTGGAAAAATATTACTAAAAACATATGCAATATTTTAGGGAAAAAGCCTGGATGTGAAGAAAATGTACTGGATTAAAGCTGCTCTTTGTAAAGGAGCTATTTAGAGTATTCTAGTTTCCTTATATCTCATATAATTTTCACATTCATCAAAGCACATACATGTACACATACCCGTGTACCCACCTACACACTAAAAACTCATGTAAAAATAGGGTGACATAAAATACATAATTACTCTTATCAGATAAAGTCAAAAAATAATTGACAGAATCTCTCAGAACAAGATTTTTAAAACATATGTAAACACATCCACACTAAAATGTAACTGCTCTGTGTTGCCCTTTAAATTTGGTACTTCACAATCTCTTTATGACATCATACCTCAACATCACCAGGGTGGACCTATAGTGCTGAAGTTCTGGCCACATGTAAGAAGAGGAAATGTCTCTTCCACTGCTGTAAGTCTTCTGTGTAATACCTTTTCGTATTTCTAATGACTACCAGCTCTATTTAGTTATATATTTATATAGTTTAATAGACAGAATGTTGGTTCATGATAACTTTAGTGATCATTCAGATCCAAATTTTATTGTAAACATATAATATGTCCATCATATATTAGGTGTTTTTCTGTGAATTTCAGTCAGTTCGTGTTCTTTTACCATACAATGCCATATGACCTTGACTACTTTCTTTTTGAATCTCAGTATGTTTATAACGATATCTTCTTTTAAAAATTATGAAAGCAATTAATGTATATAAAGCTACTTTGAAATGTAAAGCAGAATACAATATGGTAAGATTGTGGTATCCTAAAAAAAAAATAAATAAATAAATAAAAATAAAGGCACAGAAATACACTTTGAGGGTGAGGTTACTTGGAATCACACATCAATGAGTACACACGGCTATGGTGGGGCAATAATAGCAGAGGCAGATGCTAATTTTTCACAAAATTGATTAATAAAATTTGGTAGTGCAAAAGAATCTAGAGTTAGATTAGAATTTACAAAAACTGTTAAAGTATTTGCACTTGGAAAAAAATCATCTAAAACACAACTCTTCTTTTATGTGGCATCACTTATCCCACCAAAGAAAAGCCAGCCTAAGTCTTTACAAATTAGGCAGACAATTTTCAACATTCTCCTTTGGCAGAGATAATTCACAAAATAAACTAAAATTTTAAGTCATTCAAAAGGTCAATTTAGTTCATGTTTATGACATATAGTGTTTATATTCATTGAGGTTATTAGGTTCCTGTGCATGCCACATCTTTATTCTACTTACTTTCCTTTCCCTCCAACACTCCCCTTGCCCTCAGCCTCTTGGACACCTTTTCATTTGCAAGAGATTATTCTCTTTTCTCTTTTCATTTATCCTTTATTGTGCTCTTTGTACTTTGCCTTATTCAAATGAGAGATACTATATGGTATTTATGCTTGTATGACTGATTTAATTCATTCAACATTATATTTTCCAGGTGCGTCCATTTTCCTATAAATGTCTCAAATTTATCCTTCTTTATAGTCAAATAGTACTCCACTGTGTATAGATAATCGCATTTTCTTTATCCATTCGTCTGTTGATATGTATACAGGCTGCTTCCAGGATTTAGCTAGTATGAACCATACTGCTATAAACATTGATATGCACATGTCACTGTAGTATGATGCCTCTAGCTCTTTGGGGAAGATACCTAAAAGGGGATATAAATAGATCATATGAAAATTCTAATTTTAGTTCTTTGAGAAATCTGTATAGTGATTTCCATTATGGATGTACTAGTTTACTTCCCACCAGCAATGTAGGAGGATTCCCTGTTCACTGCAGCCACACCAACATTTGTTATTTTTAAAAATTTTTAATAATTGCCATTCTTTTTGTTGTAAGATGGAATCTTAGTGTGGTTTTAATAATTTGCATTTCTCTAATGGCCAGAGATGTTGAACATTTTTTT